AGTTAGTAAATTGTACGGTTGTGTTTGATCAATGCTCAACTAAAGAGAAATACGTGAAGGATGAAAAATTTCACTTATTTTTTAAGACTTCGTTCAGTATTGCTGTGTGTGTACATAAAATATTCAGTCATGATTAGTAGTTCAAAGTTCAAATTCAATCCTGCGAAGGATCGACAGACTCAACAAGGAGGCTGGGAGATTCATTGATTCGCTGATGATTGTGTTAGAGCAGGCCTGGTTGATGCTGGAAAAGCACCATAAATACTTTAAGAATTATTTAGATTTTACAGTTCAGATAACATTAAGGCATTGTTAAATGTTGGTCATGTTCAATTTGGAGATAATTATAAGTATTTAATAAAAAGTTACCTCACTGATAACATGTTTTATTTATTAATTTGTCTGTCTTCACCCAACTATAACATTTTTTTTGACTACCGGTACTTAACCTGTCGGTTCTTATACTGACGGTATCCATAGAAACATATTAGTGCTCAAATTGATGCTGAAATTCGTAAGAAGGAGAAGGTACAGACTGACAATTGTTTTAATATTCTTCTCACATGGTTTGTGTGTGATGATTTCATACACATTGCACGTCATTTGATGCATGAAGTTTCAACGTCATGCATCTCTCATAAGTGTCTCTTACACATGAACCTGATTGAGTTAATGAGTGATTTGGATTTTGTTTGTCATCACCTGTTTGCACATATTTTCACGTACTTGTGTTGCCTTGGTAACATATGTGCAACTTTTTGATCTGATCCTCTATCACTTCAATCACCCTGGTCTACCAGTCTCTGTCCACAATAATAAATACCAACAACACCGTATTGGATGATTTGTTTCTGTATAATATATTAAGTGTAAAATTGCTAAAAATCCGATTTTGCACTGTAGGGAGTTCATTATTGTTATTATGATGTACTGTCAAGCGTGTGTTATTCTGTGATTGTATCACCTATTTTTGCTGGTTCTATGCCCAAAACCTAACGCTCCACCAACTGATTGCGTAATGTAGAATGCTGTGGCCTTGGAACATGAATACAACACACTGAGTCGTTTGCAAACAAATACTTGATAAATGCACAGTGCTTTGGTTTAGTTCATTTGTACGACTCCACTTTTATTTTTACGTCACGACACTAGAATTTTTTTTTGATTTTTTTTAAACATCATTATGTTATGAACATTGGGGGTTGATGAATCAAAGTAATACTCTATTGTCTGATACAATGCTAATGTCCAAATATGGTCGGTTTACCTTTTTAGCTATGTAGGATTTCATTATTACTCTCTTTCGCTTATTTTTTTGTTATCAATAGACGGAGTTATCCAATGAGATTGCTGAAGTGGAAGAGGCTGCTGCTACTGGCGTTCAGCGCAGCAAGAGCCGGGTCAGTTTTAATGATGATGACAGCGAGGGTGAAGATGAACGAGGTAGAGGGCGTCCCGCTGCCGGTGTGTCCTATGACGAATTCACAGTGTAAGTGCATAAATACTTCCTTAAGCCCCCCCCCCCAATGGAATTATATGTGTCTTGAAGAGGGGCACTGAAAGGGGCACTGGAGGGGCTTAAGATTAGAGATAGGGGTGAGGGAGCCCTAAGAAAGTCTTTTAATTGTTCAATTTCCAAGTGATTTCCTATATCTGTTTCACATTTTCAACCATGGCTACCTTTCACAAATTAACTGATTATAATTTATTTAAAAAAAAAAATTCTAGAAAAATACATAAAAAAGTTGCTCTCAAATGTTTGCAAGGAAAATTACGCAGTTCATAAGGTTAAACTCTACTATTAATGGCTAACACCTTTGAAAAACATATACCATATTTGCCCTAATAGTAGTAAAGTCACTAGACTACATGTTGTCTAGGATCATATGATTTTGAAAATCTACGAA